GTCGTGGGGCCTGAACTCTGGGCCTGGCACTGTCCCTCAGCTCTTCAGCTCAAGGCTAGCACTCTACCACTTGAGCCACAGTACCACTTCCGGCTTTTTTCTTTTTTTTGTTTATGTGGTGCTGAGGAATCGAACCCAGGGCCTCATGCATACAAGGCAAGTGCTCTACCACTGAGCCACCTTCCCAGCCCCGCCCTGAAATTCTTAGAGGTTCCTGACTGAAGATTACTTGATAGTCCATGAGCAATTTTTTTTTTTCTGGTCCTGGTCCTTGAACTCTGGGCCTGTGTGTTGTCCCTGAGCTCCTTTTGCTCAAGGCTAGTGGTCTACCACTAGACCTATAGCTCCATTTCTGTTTTTTTCTGTGATTAATTGGAGAGTCTTACAGATTTCCCTGTCTGAGTTGACTTCAAACTTGGACCCCTTAGCTCTCAACTTCCTAAGTAGCTAGGATTACAGGCATGAGCCACTGGTGCTTGGCTCTTCATGAACAATTTTTGAAGCTGAGAGCTGAAAAAATATATTATCAATACTTTTTTTTTTTTTTTTTTGCCAGTCCTGGGGCTTGAATTCAGGGCTTGGGCATGGTGCCTGAGCTTCTTTTGCTCAAGGCTAGCACTCTATCACTTGAGCCACAGTGCCATGTCCAGCCTTTTCTGTTTATGTGGTACTAAGGAATTGAACCCAGGGCTTCAGGCATGCTAGGCCAGCACTCTACTACTAAGCCACATTCCTGGCCCCTTACTACATTAAAAAAAAAAACAACCCAAAAACTTCTTTTTTATGGGTTGTGGGACTTGAACTCTGGGCCTAAGGCACTCATCCTGAGCTCTTCAGCTCAAGTCGAGTGCTCTACTAACTTAAGCCACAGCACTACTTTCACAAAAACTTTTATTGTTATTATAAAGATGATGTACAGAGAGGTTATAGTTTGAGAAAATTCTTGGTACTATTACATCACACAACCTTTCTGTACCTCTTTGGATTTAGTTACTAAATTCCTTATCAATTTTTTAGTGTTTGGAATCAGAAATATCATTGGAAATCTTTTTGTTTTTTTCTCTTTCTTTTTTTTTGGTTGTGGGGCTTGAACTCAGGGACTGGGCACTGGTACTACTTTTTTTCTCAAGGCTAGCACTCTACCCCTTTGAGCCACAGTTTATCTCCAGCTTTCTTCTTTCCTGCCTGGACTCAGATCTCAGCCTCCTGATTCATATACCTTTTTTTTCATTTTGTCGGTCGTGGGGCTTGAAC